CGACGCGGGGCTCGAACTCACGGACCGCGAGATCATGACCTGAGCCGAAGTCGGACGCTTAACCGACTGAGCCACCCAGGCGCCCCTGAAGGCTTAATTTAAAGAATTAGAATCCAGCCCTCCAAATTGATGAATGTTGAAGTATTTTAGAGGTGAAGTGTTACGTCTGCAGCTTACTTCCCGATTCGCCCCCCTTCCCGAGGGAAAATACTAAGAATTGTTGAATTCGAGTGGTGGTTGGACTGTGTGGGCAAACAGTGTCTTAGTCTCTTAACTATTTGTATTTTGAAAAGTTGGGGAGAAGACAGAGCTCCCCATGATGTGTGTGGTATACCTCAATTAGCCTTTCTTTTTGCTACTATAATCCGAAGCGAGAAAGTAGACACTGGCACATTCGTACTGTTTGAAAAGTGACTTCTCAGGATCCTTTTTTTTTTTCTTTAAGTTTTTTAGTTTTTTATTTATCTAAGCAATCTCTACACCAAACATGGGTCTCGAAGTCACTACCCCGAGATCAACAGTCACACGCTCTTTGGGCTGAGCACCCCTTCTCACGATCCTTCTATATACTTGCTTGTCTCCCTTGGTTTCTCCACTGCGTTACATGAATCTCAAAGCGTGTATTAGTCAAGAAGTTTTTTTTTTTAATTTTTTTTTTTCAACGTTTATTTATTTTTGGGACAGAGAGAGACAGAGCATGAACGGGGGAGGGGCAGAGAGAGAGGGAGACACAGAATCGGAAACAGGCTCCAGGCTCTGAGCCATCAGCCCAGAGCCTGACGTGGGGCTCGAACTCACGGACCGCGAGATCGTGACCTGGTTGAAGTCGGACGCTTAACCGACTGCACCACCCAGGCGCCCCAGTCAAGAAGTTTTAAGATGCAGCTCATGAAAACTCAAAACTGGCTTAAGCAAAAAGAGTTATTGACTAACATAAGTGAAACATCCAAGCGTGGTATGGAGTTCAAACAGTATTATTAGAACTTACTGTATCCATTTCAGTGACCTTTTTTTCCCTCTCTCATTGGGTTTTGCTTTCAAGCAGACTTTTTTTTTCCTAGTGCTGGCTCCTAACATATTTAGGCTTACGTCTTCCCATGTTGAAGACCAGAGGAAAAAAAGGCATTTTCTCTCCTACTGGTTCCAACAAGTCCTGGAATTAACTCTTTAATGGGCACTAGGCACATTCTGGCACCATTATTGGCCAGATCTGTTGGTAATTTTCCAATTGGTTAAACCTAGGGGGTATACCTGCACACACCCTTATAAATATATGTCCCACCCATGAGTCAGGGATGGAATTAATACCACCTGAACTATACTAAAAGTAGCCAAGCATAGCAGCCAGAGGAAAATCGGGGTATAGGTACCAAGGGAAAGGTGAGCGCTTTATATATTTCAACACTTTGATAATGGATTCAGGATTGTTATCGCTTCCGGGTGTATTAAACCTTTTATGGAATTTTTTTTTTTTTTTAATGTCTTTTGCAATGCATTAGATTTTGCTTGATGCCAACTTTGCAACTTTCTTACTAGAATTTTCCTGGGCTATTTTTTGTCTTTAACTTACTAGATTTCTTAAAACATTAAAGTTTTAATTCTTGCTCGCTGTAACCAGGTGAACAGCACAGACATTTATAAAGATAAAGGTAATATTACTTCCTCCCATTCAGTCCCCCACTTCTCCCTACTGAGGATAACAGTGTGATGTATATTTCACTTCCCTCTCATCCCAACTTTGGATTTTTTTTTTTTTGAGAGCCCTTTCTGTAAAGAGGATGCAACATTTAAAAAAAACAAAAACAAAAAAACCCCACCTTTTTATGAGATAAATTAAGTAATTCATATTAATTACTTGTTATGTTTCAGATTTTTACCACGTGATTTTTATAATTCTGTTTGCTATGCTTTGTTCTTTTGTATTGTTTCCTGCCTTTTGTGCAATAGTTGGCATTTTTCTGGGTTTTTTTTTCTTTTAATCTGGAAATTAATTCCCGTCGAGTGTCATTTCAGCTATAGATATGCAGATTATAGGACCAAGTTCATTTTTTACTCATAATATCTTGTCTGTTTAGTGGCTACTTAATGATTTTTTTTATATTTCATTTTATTTTTCAAGGACGATTCTTGTTGTTTTTTTTAATTCTTGTTATTTAAATCTCAGATCATTTCCACTTTGGAAATGTTATTTTGAAATAATTTTAGACTTAAGGAAATGTTGTAAATAAGAGTTTTCATATACTCTCCATTCAGATTCTCTGAAAGTTAACATTAATCTCACTTATAATAATTCATTACAGCTTTTATATATTTTGTGTTATATAAACTTAATCCTATGATATTTACAACGTTTATAAGTTATATCTGTGCCTTCAGTTTGTTGCTGGTAGTTTCCAATTTAATGCTTTTTGCCTTGAATTCCATGCCTACCTGGATTTGGTGCCTTTTGCCAATCTTTCATTCCATAACTTCTTCCTTTGCAAGTTTTGCATTTCAATTCATCTTCTGATTGGCTAGGTTAATTGAGTTTTTATTGAGGACTCACCAGGAGAATTATGCAGACATGCATCATTTTTCCTCTGCTCTTTTTTTGTTTACTTTGCCAAATTGCATTGTTGACTCACTGGTTCATGTTTCAGCTCTTCATTTCCCAGAAGAACTGTGGTCTCAATGGAAAAACCACAGTCTGTCTTCTTTCGGTTCTCATATTGAATCCAGGACATAGGTGATACCCAGTGACTTTGGAGTATTCCGAATTTGAATACATGACAAGGCTTGTCATTTATCACAACCATTCCCCTCATGCATGTATTTTACACATCTACTCTAGGGCCATCAGAAATTGGGGGAGGTGAAATTGAGTCTGTTGAGTGAAAGATGTGAACAAAAGTATGTTTGTGTCTTAGGCATCAGTGACATTCAAGGATGTGGCCATGGACTTTACCCCAGAGGAGTGGGGGAAGCTGGATCCTGCCCAAAGGGAGGTGATGCTGGAGAACTATAGGAACCTGGTGTCGCTTTGTAAGGATGGGTTCTCATTGTGACTCGAATCTGCTTTGGGGACGTCATTACTTTATTGAAAGTGAAATAGCTTAACAAAGCATTCACTTTTGCATTCAGAAATCATGAAGTATTGATCCCTTTGGGCCCAGAGAAAATCTATTTCTGCCCTTGGTTCTTGGTAAAATGTCTGTGCTTGTTTTACATCAAAATTCTTTGGATTCAAATGACAGAAACCTATTTCACACTAACTTAAAGGGCATAAGAATGTTGGTTCAGGAAATTATAAATATTGTCAGATATCTCCTTTATTTTGTTTTAATCACGTGGCTTGGCTTTGCCCTATATTAGCTTTATTCTCAGGCTCTCCCCATGTGGCAAAGATGGCCATCGGCAGCTCTAAGGTGGCATAAGTCTCTCAGAGAGAGAAATTACTCTCTGGCCAGTGTGGATCTTACGCTCACTTCCGTGAAGGGTGTGTGGGTGTGGGAATGTGCGAATGGGTACTCCCACATGTATGTGTTCTTTCGGGGGTAGAAGGAACTATGTTATCTTCTCCCAGTGATATTTACACATGAACATTCAGAAGTTCTATTTGTATCAGTAATTTGTTGCCATCATTTTCTAATTTAGTACTTTTTGCCTTGAATTAATTTTATGCTTGTGTAATAAATTCCGTAAGAAAGTGGGTTCTGATAAATGAAGAAGGAAGAAAGGGGAAAACTATTAAAAAGGAGACAAAAACTCTAGTCGCCACAGGGCACAACTTTTTGGTGCTGCCACTGAGGTCCCACTTTCTCTACCTCTTCCCTAAGCTAAGGACTCACCTGCGGTGTCTCTCTGGAACTTCCTCAATAGAAAAATAAAGAGAAATTGTCTTCTTCCTTTTTAAGTAAGCACTACACCCAACGTGGGGCTTGAACTCATGACCCTCAGATCAAGAGTCATGTGCTCTCCCCACTGAGCCAGCCAGCCAGGTGCCCTGAGAAATTCTCTTCTTTTTGACCGGCAGATACATTTGCCTTTTCCAGTGCATGTAAACTCCTTACCAGACCCAGACTCTTGCTGCAGATATTTTGAGTTCCATTCAAGGTCCATCCTCCCTTATTTCTGATCTTCTTTTAATATCCTATCCTTGTAGATCAAGGGGTTGGGACTGTGCTCTAGAATAGACCTTTGTGCCCATCACAAATAGTTAAGTCCTGTTTCTTTTTGTTGTTGTTCTTTCCTTTCCTTTCCTTTCCTTTCCTTTCCTTTCCTTTCCTTTCCTTTCCTTTCCTTTCCCTTCCCTTCCTTTCCCTTTCTTTCCTTCCTTCCTTCCTTCCTTCCTTCCTTCCTTCCTTCCTTCCTTCCTTCCTTCCTCCCTCTTGTTCTCTCTCTCTTTCTTTCTGTGAGCAGGGCTTCCAGTTTCCAAATCTGAGAACTACAGTTTGGAGAGCGGAAAAGAACCACTGATGCTTGAGAGAAAAGCCCCCAAAAGCAGCTATTCAGGTGAGTCAGATGCATGGGAATCTTCAGAAACAGTAACGCCACAGGACGGCGAAAAAGTGACACTTTTCCGTGCTTAAAAAAGAATACTAGCAATACCTACGCGCTTTTATTTTTTAATATCTTATTTTAAATTGTACAGCTTTTTAAATAATATAAAAGTTGAGAAAATAAAATAACACATGTGTTCACTGTCAAAACCAGACATATGCCAGTACTTCGCTTCTTTTGCCTTTGTTTCTTTATTTTGCAATGCAAAATAAAAATATCATAACTGTACAGTTCTTCGAATTTTCGCAAATGAACACGTTCATGTAACTACTGCCCAGATCAAGAAGCAACCTCACCAGCCCGGAAGCACCCTTGTCCCTTCATTCCTTCCAAGGGTGACCTTATCCCAACTTCTAACACCATAGAACTTGTTCTTAAACTTCATTTAGACAGAATCCTATTGTATATTCCAATGTCCGGCTTTCTTCACTGAATATGACTGTGAGATACATCCATGTTCCCGCATGTACTTATAGTTCATTGTCTTTGTTGTGCCATCTTTCATTATGTCAATATACCAGTTTATCCGTTCTCTTGAGATGGGCGTATGGGTAGTTTCTAGGTTGGGGCTAAATGAAGAAGACTGCCCTGTATATTCTTTTACATATCTTCTGGTGAACCCATGCAGGCATGCCTTGGAGATACTGTGCGTTTGGTTCCAGACCACCAGAGTAAAGCAAGTGTTGCAGTAGAGGAAGTGAAATGAATTTTTGGGTTTCCCGTTGCATGTAAAAGCTATGTTTATATTACGCTACAGGGTACAATAGCATTATGTCTAAAAACCAAACGACACGCATACCTTAATTAAAAAATGTTGTCTAAAACTCCTGTCATATGAGCCTTCAGCAAACCGTAATCACTGATCGCAGATCGCCATAACAAATACAATACTAATGAGAAAGTTTGAAATACCGCAAGAATTACCAAAATGTGACCCAGAGGCACCAAGTGGGCAAATGCTGCTGGAAAAATGGCGTTGATGTACTTGTTTGATGCAGGGTTGCTACAAACCTTCCATCTGTAAAAAGCAAAACACAAGGCAGTATCTGCGAAGCACAATTAAGTGGGATGAAACAAGGTATGTCGGTATATGCATTTCTGTTGGACAAACACACAGGGAGAATTGTTGGATCCTGGGGCCGGTATTTTGGTAGATGGCACCAAATAGGCTTCCAAAGTCATTGTCTTAATTATAGTTACCCTCCCACTAGCAGAGGATGTGAGTTGCCCCACATCCTCACCAGCACTTAATATTGTCTGCTTCATTTTAGCCATTCTTACAGGTGTGTGATATCTTTTTAAGAAGTAAAAAATGGGACAGATTTAAAATCCTTTTATTTGCTCTGTCCCTAGAAGTAACTAGTTGGGGTGAATCATTCTAGTGTGTGTGTGTGCGTGCGTGTGTGTGTGTGTGTGTGTGTAGTTACTCACACATATACATATACACACGTCAAAGAACAATTGTAGGGGTGCCTGGGTGGCTCAGTCAGTTAAGCGTCTCAGTCTCGACTTTGGTTTAGGTCACGATCCCAGGGTCATGGGATCCAGCCCCGTGTCAGGCTCTGTTGAGTGTTTCCTCTCTCCTACTCTGTCCCTCTCCCCCACTCACACTCTTTCTCTCTCTCTAAGATTAAAAACAAAAAAAAATAGTAATAATTATGTGTGCATAGTATTATGTTGTACTTTTTATTTTGTAATCAATTATTTTACAGCTTCACACTGTATTTTGATAGTACCTATGTTAATACATGTGAATTGTGTTCATTTTAACTGCTGTGGAGTAAGTCTATTGTGTAAGTGAACTGAACAGTTTAATTTCTCTGCTGTTACTAAGAGAGTTGCAATGATCATCCTTTTATTGAGTCTTTATATTCGTCTTGAGATTTGGTTTAGGTACGTAACCAGGATAAGATGGACTGAATCTTCAAGTATCACATGTTTGGCTTCGTTAGGAACTGCCAAGGTCCTACCTTCATCCGGGCCAACAGGTGATGCTATGAGATGTAGTAATTTGTGTCAGTCTGATGGGTGTGAAATGAAATTTCATGTTTTTTAATTTATGGTTCTCTGGTTATGAGTTTTAGTAATTCATATGTTTCATTAGCTACTCAGGTTTCCTCTTTTGTAAATTACCTACTTACATTCTTTGCCTTATTTTTTTTTTTGAAATTGGGCCATTCACACCTTTTTCTTGATTTGTTGGAGTTCTTTACATATTTTAGATACTAATATATGACCGGTACCATTACGAATCAGTGAGAAAAAAAATATTGGTTCTTTTTCTCTGCGGCTTATTCTATTTTATGGTGTCTTACGCGTGCAGAATTTTAAAATTTTAATGTTAACAGATTTATCTTTTTTTTTTAAGTTTATTTATTTATTTTGAGGGAGGGGTGCAGAGAGTGAGGGAGAGAAAGGGAATCCCAAGCAGGCTCCACGCTGTCAGCACGGAGCCAGCCGTGGAGCTCAAACTCACAAACCACGAGATCGTAACCTAGGCCGAAATCAAGCCTCAGGCACTTAACCAACTGAGCCACCCAGGTGCCCTGTCTTTTAGTTTTTTTTAATATACTTTATGCTTTTTCTGAGTTGTCTTCTTATTCCAGCGCCAGGAAGATAATCTATACTTTATTCTAAAATGTTCAAGTTTTATCTTGCAGGTAGATACTCGGGGTTTGCATACTGTGTGAAATAGGAACTACTTTTCTCTTTTTCCATGTTTAAAACTGATAATTCAGCATCTTTTTATTGAAAAATCTATATTTTGTCACAGATTTGTAACCCTAACTCTGGTAAACTCTGGTCCCATATATACTTGGGTCTGTTTCTAGGCTCTCTGGTCTTACTTACCTGTCCATGCTGCAATAATATGTTCTAATTATCACAATAATTATTTTAATTATACTTGATAGTGTGTATATCTCCAAAAGGAAATCTTGTCTTAATATCCTTTTTTAAATCCTCTTATTCTTTGGAATACTGAGAGTTCTAAAATCTTCCCCTGTGATTATAGATTCATCTTTTCCCCATGTCGGCATATCACTTTTTGAGCCTTGCTTGTTTGTAACCCTTCTTCCTTTTTTTACAGGAGATTGCCATTTTTCTAAATGAGCTACAAGAACTCTTCATACATGAGGCATTTAATCCTTGTCAGACGTTTTTTCTAGGTTTTGTTCTTCAGTTTTGGGTGCTTTTTAATGTACAAATTTAATGTATTACAATCTTCTAAATATTCCAGTTTTTTTTAAGTTTATTTATCTTTGAGATGGAATAAGCAAGGGAGGGGCAGAGTGAGGGGCGGGGGGGGGGGGGGGGGGGGGGGGGGGGGGGGAGACACAGAATGCAAAGCAGGCTCCAGGCTCTGAGCTGTCAGCGCAGAGCCTGATGAGGGGCTCGAACCCACGAGCCTTGAGATCACGACCCGAGCTGAAGTCAGATGTTTGACTGAGCCACCCAGGTGCTCCTAAATTTTCCAGTTTTTGATTTGTGCTTGGAAAGATCTCTCTGGCGTGCTTGGGTGGCTCAGTCGGTTAAAATCAATCCAACTATTGGGGAACCTGGGTGGCTCAGTTGGTTAAGCGTCCGACTTCGGTTCGGGTCATGATCTCGCGATTTGGGAGTTCGAGCCCTGAGTCAAGCTCTGTGCTGACAGCTCAGAGCCTAGACCCTTCTTCAGATTCTGTGTCTCCCTCTCTCTCTGCCCCTCCCCTGCTCTCTCTCTCTCTCTCTCAAAAGTAAATAAAACGTTAAAAAAAAGATCAACTCTTGGGGCACCTAGGTGGCTCGGTTAAACATCTGACTTCAGCTCAGGTCATGATCTCAGGGTTTGTGAGTTCGAGCCCCACGTTGGGCTCTGTGCTGACAGGTCAGAGCCTGGAGCCTGTTGGGAATTCTGTGTCTACCTCTCTCTCTGCCCCTCCCCCGCTCACTTGTGCTCACTCTCTCTCTCTCAAAAGTAAATAAAACATTTAAAAAAAGTCTATCGAACTCTTGGGGCGTCTAGGTGGTTCAGTCGGTTAGGTGTTCGACTTTAGCTCAGGTCATGATCTTGTGGTTTACATGTATGAGCCCCATTTTGGGCTCTGTGCTGACAGCTCGGACCCTGGAGCCTGCTTCAGATTCTGTGACTCCCTCTCTCTCTCTCTGTCCTTCCCATGCTTGTGCACTCTCTCTCTCTCTCTCAAAAGTAAATAAAAACATTTAAAAAGAATTTGGAGTCAATCCAACTCTTGATTTTGACTCAAGTCATGATCTTGCAGTTCGTGAGTTCAATCCCCACTTGTTAGGGTCTGTGCTGACGGTCTGGAGCCTGCTTGGGATTCTCTCTGTCTCTCTGTCTTTCTCTCTGCCCCTCCCTCCCACTCTCTCTAAAAATAAATACATAAAACTTAAAAAAATCTGTATAAATAGGGTGGGCCAAATACAGTAAGTCTGAGGGTCAGATTTGTCCCACTGGCCACCTGTTTGCAGCCTCTATTTTCTCCCACAACCAAATGATCATCACTATCTAGATGAATCCCAAATTTGTATTTCCAGCCTAGACCTCTCCTTGGGCCAACTGTTCTAAACATTTGTGTAACTATTTGATGTCTTTATTTGCTTATGTTAAAGACGCCTCAATACAGTATGTTTGAAATTGGTTGCCTGATATATGCCCAAATTCTCCATCCACCCAGGAGAATCCTTTTCCAATCATTGTCTTAACGACACCCGCTGTCTTATCAAATTGCGCAAGCCAGAATTCTGTGAACGGTTTCTACCCTTCCCTCCCTCTCCTTTTCCAATTTGTCACTGCATTGATCTAATTTTATTGTAAATATTTCTTCATTCTTAGTTAGCATCCCTCCATCTCCCTTTTGTTTGCCTGGACTACCCAGATAATCTCAGTTCTACCTTTGCCCCCATAGATTTCCACCATTCTTTATATTACAGTGAGAGTGATGTTTTCAAAATAAAAATCTGATGGTGTCATCTTTTTGCTTGAAACATTGAAGTGTCTTCCTGTTGCTCTTAGAAAACAATCAAAATCCTTGAGGTCGACAAAGTCTTGTAAAGTCTGGCTTTTCGTCATCATTCCAACCTTATCTCACACGTACTCTCCCTGTTTCTGTACTCTTAGCAGTTCTTAGGTACCCTGGTGTGAAAGGATCCAGTTTAAGATTATTGAGGACCCTCACGAGCTTTTGTTTATGTGGTTTATATTTACCAATACTTCCTGTATTAGAAATGAAACTGAAAGCAATTTAAACTATTAAGTTATTCATTTAAAAATAACAAAAATAGGGGCGCCTGGGTGGCGCAGTCGGTTAAGCGTCCGACTTCAGCCAGGTCACGATCTCGCGGTCCGTGAGTTCGAGCCCCGCG